CATAAAGATATCTGGCCCCATTTATAGCAGGTGTAAAGAGACGGTTGCAAGTAGTTGTTAGGCAGTTCCAACCGCTGGGCAGTTAGGCGGTTGCTGGTAGTTATTCTGTTGAAGCAGTTGCTGGCCATAACTCCCAGGGTGCCCGCTTCGCTTGCGTTAAGGGCACAGATCTTCCTCGCTTGCTGGAGAGCTGGAGGGCATCAGCGCAGCTCGGCTCGCTTGTGCTGACTGGAATTGGAATGGCTGTACCGCTGCAGTTGAAGTACTTAGTTGAAATCTGGTGATAGTCTGCAGCAGTGGGTATCTAGACTGTCGCTTGCAAGTGGCAGAGGCTATTGCTTGCGGGCTGTGAAGGTGGCCGCTTGCCTCTCATGCCTTAGTATTTTCAAAATATGTTCTGGGCGCTTGCAAGCGAAGGCGGCTGTCGCTTGCGGCGTCTGCCGTAGCTTTTCTGTTTCCAGATTACCGCTTAAGAGGGCAAAAATCGTTAATAATCTCAACAACGAATCATGGATCATGCCTAGTGATATAAATCAATATTGTATACTGATTACGAATTATTTTGATGGTTCTTATGCAGAAATTCGAGTAATATACATTTTTGTCAAGCTAAGAATATGCTCATATTTGGAGTTATCAAACCTCTTATCTGTTAGTAAACTCACCGCATCAAAATCCATTTGTTTCCTTTTTTTAGCTCATGAATGTTGGTTGCAGGACTCACCATCATGGACGACGATTGGAGTTGCTAAGCTATGCAAAGGATAATATTTCCTTCCCCAGCTTCATCACCCTACCTCCTCTGCGCGTTCTGTCACCCACTATGCTCATTCATCTTTCATATGGCACAACCGTCTTGGTCATGCCCCAAGTCGGGTTCTCCTTCATTTGAAAAATAATGGAGTTTCCAGCTCTACACCCACGGTATGTGATGCTTGTCATAAGGCCAAACAAAAGCGTCTTCAGTTTTCGGTGCATGTCAAGAGTTCTTCTGCACCTTTCCAACTCATTCATGTCGATATATGGGGACCTTACCGGGAAGAGAGTTTAGGGGGACATAAATATTTTCTTACTATTGTTGATGATTTTTCCTGTTTCACTTGGATTCATTTAATGCAATCTAAATTTGAAGTTTCATTCCTGATTCCAAAGTTCCACCGTTTTGTTATTACTCAATTTCAATCTCATATTAAAATCTTGCGATCGGATAATGGTGCCGAATTTAATCTTACATCCTTTTATGATGAAACTGGAATCATTCATCAGCGTTCATGTGTGGCCACTCCACAACAAAATGTTGTTGTTGAGCGAAAACATGGTCATTTACTCGTGGTGGCACGAGCTTTACTGTTCCATGCCTCCTTTCCCCCAAGGTTTTGGGGCGAGACTGTTCTCACTGCCGCACACCTCATTAATCGCTTGCCTAGTCGAGTTATCCAATATGCTGCTCCATATACCTTACTACACCATACTCCACCCATATATAATCACATTCGTACCTTTGGTTGTTTAGCATATGCCTCCACTGTTCCGGGTCATAGAGATAAATTCGATAGCCGTGCTCGTGCTTGTGTGTTTGTTGGGTATCCCATGGGTGTGAAAGGATACAAATTATATGACATGGAAACTGAACGTGTGTTTGTGTCTAGGGATGTGCTTTTTCATGAAAATATATTCCCCTTCCACAAAACCAGAGAGTCTGGTAGTCACCCAATTCTGCCATTTCAATCATCTCCCCAGAATAATTACAATTTTGATTCTATTCTCCCTGTAACTGCAGCAGCCCATGTTCCTCCCATTCCAGACTCATTCTTACCTGTGCCTCTCTCTATACCTCCACCTTCCCATCCTCTTGATCCAAATCAAACACCACCGACAGATTCTTTGCGGGAACAACAGAACATGCTACACAACCCTTCCACCAATGATCCTTTGCATAGCTCATCAACTTCTCCTGTCACTGTTAGGCCTACGCGAAATAGGCGCATGCCCTCTCACCTTTCTGATTATATTCTTGATATCCCAATCACTCTACCAGCCTCTCACAAGGCTACTTCCTCTTGCACTCTCATTTTACCAGAGCCCAATTCTTTCGCAACTGCAGTGGCACATCCAGAATGGGTTGAGACGATGCGTGCTGAGGTAAAGGCCTTGCACGAAAATCACACATGGGAGGTTGTTCCCATTACCGCATGGCCGCTCTGCAATTGGATGCAAATGGGTTTTTAAAACCAAGGTACGGGCTGACGGTTCTCTTCAACTATACAAGGCACGATTGGTGGCGAAAGGCTACAATCAACGGGAAGGATTTGACTATCACGAAACCTTCAGTCCTATGGTTCGTCATACTACTGTTCGTCTTGTGTTCGCTCTTGCTGCATCTCAGAATTGGTGGCTGGAACAGCTTGATGTCCATAATGCTTTTCTCAATGGTGATTTGGATGATAAGGTGTACATGGAATTGCCCAAAGGATATGAAACGTTGACTGGAAATACCTTGAAGTCTCAACATGTTTGTCAATTGACAAAGGCATTATACGGATTAAAGCAAGCATCGCGGCAATGGAATTTAAAGTTTACCGATGTGCTGATTCAGATAGGTTTTAGGCAGGCAAAGACGGATGCTTCATGTTTCATGCGAACCCTTAATGATGGGAAGTTTATTATTCTGTTGGTTTACGTTGACGATCTTATTTTGGGTGAAAACTGCAAAAGGAACATTGATGACACCATCTCCTTACTTCAAGGTTAGTTTAAATTAAGATTGTTGGGAAGACCTCGCTTATTTTTGGGTATGGAACTTTCTTGGGGTGCAGATGGAGTTTCCTTATGCCAAAAGAAATACCTCTATGCATTATTGCATGATTATGGATGTATACATGGGAAATCTTATTCTACTCCAATTGAAGTGCAGCACCAGCTTAGCAATAATGATTCTTCAGAGCTTTTAGATGCTACTGCGTACCGTCAACTTGTTGGAAAATTGCTCTATCTGACCTTGACAAGAGTTGACGTTGCTTATGTTGTCCATGTTTTATCTCAATTTATGCATAAGCCACGACATGCACACATGCGTGCCGCATTGCGTGTTCTGCGATATTTGAAGTGCAATCCGAGTAGAGGGCTGTCCTTTTGAAGAAGATCTCCCCTAGAGCTAATAGGATATTCAGATAGTGACTGGGGTTCTTGCCGTGAGACGCGTCAATCAGTAACTGGTTTTTGTATCTTTTTGGGACAGTCCTTGATTAGCTAGAGATCAAAGAAGCAATCTGTGGTTGCGAGGAGTTCAACTGAAGCGGAGTACCGTGCTTTAGCCACATGTGTGTGTGAGATTGTGTGGATTCAAAATATGTTATCTGAATTGGGTATACAAAGTTCTAATATACCTCGTATCCTCTGTGACAATTGAAGTGCCATTCAGATTAGTCGGAATCCTGCTCACCATGATCGAACTAAACACTTTGATCTAGATTTACATTTTGTTCGAGAAAAGGTGCAAGCCAACCTTTTCCAGCTTGAATTTGTATCGACGAAGGATCAACTAGCAGATGTTCTAACAAAAGGGCTGCCAAGTTCTGTTTTTCATGATTTGGTATCCAAAATGTGCATTGAGGATACCATGCACATTTTGCAGGGGATGTTAGAGTTGATACTCCTGGAGCAGAGGACCAAAACCACCACGTCTAACAAAATATGTTTCCCCTCTGCTATTCTGTTATAACTAACTCTTCTTCTATATTGTATAGCATCTAGTTTTTTTTTTTTTGTGACTCTATATATAGCTTGTGCATTCTGTCTGCCAATTTAATTATTATTAATCAAAATATTCAGAAATTAAGTATTGCAGTATCTTTCTTCCGTTACTGCAAATCTGAGCCTTTGTTTCCATTAATTTGTTCTTAGTCATCTATGTTGTTATCTCAATAAACCACGTGAAGCATATGCTAATTTGAGTCTTTGGAAAAAAGAAAAAAAAAATCAACTTGACTCTCATAGAAGACATGGAGCCTACACACTTACTGTCATCAATAGAGACAGAATAACTCAAGCAAAAACTTCAATTGAGTCGGGACGATTTTGCAGTTGGCAACTTCGATCCTGATTACTCATTGGATATTCAGTGGATTCTTCCATATAATGAATTGGAGGAATTTCTTACATGCGACAGTGACAACAATGATTCTGAGCAAGTGATCATTCAGTATGATTTTCAACAATTCGTATTATTTACAAATCGGGATCGGAATCCAATCATACTCAATCGAACATTACTCCGTCAGAATCGAAAGAATTACTACAAAAGAATGTTGAAGAGGGAAATCTGAATGCGAATCGCAAGGTTGCACAAATCTCCTGATTTCCGCTATTCTATGTGTTGCCTGTAGTTGTAGGAGCAGTCAAAGTTAACTCTACAGTGCCGACTTGTGCAGCTTATTTGCTTGCAGATGTTACTGCATTTGTCATCTTTTTGGTTTCATCTTGAGATTCCAGATGGAAACTAATCCACATCAAAGTGATAGAATTTTTTTAAAGTTGAAATTTTGGAGGCTTTGTCCATATGATATAGCCACTAGTTGAGATTTTTGTGTTCAAAGCTATTATTTGATTCCTCCATGATCCAGGCAAAAGTCAAGTACACGACAACCATAACAAAAAAAAAAAAAAAAAAGAAAAAATCTCAAAGAGGGATCACATATATATATATACATATATATGTATGTATACATTGTATATACATATACATGCACATATACATACACATACAATGTATGTGAGAGGGGGGCGGGCTGGTGATCCCCTCCCAAATCTCAAGCCGTCATTGAATTGTGTGCTCATTTGACCGAACACGGTTTTAAGAAAATAAATAAATATAGAAAGTTTTACTTTTTAGGTAAAGAAAAAATAGAGGAAAATAAATTTAGATGACGAGAAAAAAAAATAAATAAATTTGGACGGCTGAGGGAATAATATACTACAGGCAACAAATAAAGCACCTGAAATTACTAGCCAAGAAACTTAGCATTAATTAGAGAGAAACACGATCTGTGGTTTTGGCTACAATTTCAGCTGTATAAGAGGCTACTTACAGGATAAACTGTAATTTTATTTTCTATTTTTGAATTTTTGATAACATGAAAATCTACGACCGCTACTTTTCGAGTGTGTTATCATAAACCCATGAACTTACAAGATAACTGTAATTTAATTCAATGTCAGGAAGCCCAGCTTTGGTTCTTCAAATATAAGCTGTCGGAGCAAGTTAAGAACACAGCCGTAGGGGCTAACTGAGATGGTTGAATAAGCTTGATTGATCTGCCAATCAAGAAGGAAAATTTTCAGTGCTCTTGTGCAACAAAACACGGATCTAATTTCCTACGACTATCTAGTTTCGACCATCAAGTGCCTTCAGCTTTTGGTTCAACTGTGCAGGAGTGTGTGCTGACATATCTGTTGCACAAGTGTTTTGAGGGGTTGAGTTTTTACCCTTGAAGGTCACGAGAAGCAAATAGATGGAGCTAAAAATTTTAATTAAAGATTGGACTATGCAATCGAAAAAAGTTAAGATGCCCTTAAACTTGTAAAAGGTTTATCTATGCATCTCATGGTATAAGGGAAATGTAATGCATATGACTCACCAGGAAAATTCGAATGATTTTAGATTCAGTTAGCTGCTGCTCACGCCGGTTCCATTCTTCACCAAAGAACGCTGTCTGGCTCGCTCCATCTTCCGCCTTCTCCATTCCTCGATTGCTACAGAATCCACATGCATAAAATGGTCAAGAATTTTAGTCGGGAGTTAATGTGTTCATTGCAATCAAATTTTGCATCTCCACATTGCAGGGAAACAATGTTGGAAATATTTCCAGTAAAATGAAAGCTTATAACAGAAAACAAAAGTAAATAAACTCATCGAAGAAAAGGGTTCAGCAAAAGAACACAATTCACTCTGCCAAAACCTGAATATGAACAGATAAAAGAGAAGGGATCATAAAAAACCACACCTTTCACACTTCCAGGATCTGAATACGAACGGAAATTGTTGAGTCGAGATATTAGGTCCACGGCAGCTGTCTGTTTTACTTTTACATCTTTCTGTTGGATTTCCTCTGCTTCAGCATGCTCTTCTTCTCTGATTTCTCTAACCTAAAGAGTAGATAGAAATCATTCGAATAATTTATAAACCAACAACAATATAAGGCGTATTTAAGAATATCAAATTCTTTAGCAAAATAATGCTGCAATCGTTGCACGGAAATGATTTTCCTGCTTATGCCAAATTCAAACTCACCCTTCTGATCAGATCGACAGGAACCATGCTACGTCTTATATCTTCGGATTCCTTCATATGCCTCAGTAGAGCTGTATCCATTCGATAGGAAATTGAGAGAAGTGACAACCCAACCATAATCATCGTAAGGCGCAAGATCAAAAGTGATCAGCTTGTATTCAGAATCTTGTCGGTATTAATGACTTTAAAACTCCAATCCTTTACCATAGACTAAAGGTTCACAGTACATTTCTTTGCCAATGCTGATCCAAATATAAAGCATATAGTATACAGCTGATAATATAGAACTTTTGAAGATTCGATACCAAAACTAAGATCAAATGTCACCAAAACCATATAATTGGAACTGTGCAGCAACATTAATCGATCATCTTTAATATCCAGATGCAATTTAGAAGTGATAAATCAAATTATCACATAGATCAACCAAAATCATTACCTTAACGAATTCAATATACCAGACTGATATCAGAATTCCCAATTTCCATCTACCGGAGGAAGTGGATAAAAGAATTTTATTAAACAACATATATTTTACCAGAAATCTAAAAAACAATGGCGGTTGGAAAACCAAAAATCTACCAGAAAACCCTATCCCCAAATTTCGTTTGGGTTATATATTTGATCTGCCAAGAAACTGGTAATCGCTTCAACCAGTTCGGATTACAACAACGCAAACTCTATTCCAGCAAACAGAGAACACGAAGAAAGGAATAGAACTAAGCCAAGCACAAGATGTAGAAAAATTAAACTTCAGATCTCAAATACTAAAACAGTACCTTTTTGTGAGACGGCTGATCTGGAAGACGATGGATGGAAGAAAACGCAGTGGAGCAAAAACAGGGCGGCAATCACGTTGCATAAACAAACAACTAGAGTAGCGTTCTTGTATGTCAACCGTGATTTGACTGCCCTCCACCATTGCTGTTGATGCATCTTCTCCATTTCCTACCCAACTATGGCTGCGTTCGTTTGTGTTTAAGCTAGAACTAGACTGGTAATTTATTTCCACCCAATCCAATTTACTGTAACGAAAACGATTCCCCCTCCTCCTCCATTCTTTCGGTGCAGAGCGTGCAATGATTGCAGCCCAAAATCTAAGGAAAGAAAAAAATGCAAAAACCGTGGTCGGCAGGATTCGAACCTGCGCGGGCAGAGCCCACATGATTTCTAGTCATGCCCGATAACCACTCCGGCACGACCACTAGTTGGTATGTAATTCACAGTTTAACAATTTAATCTATACTACAATTCATTAGGCACAATATAAGAACCTACACAAACCGTTGTATATTTATATTATTAACATAAATTATTTTCTCCATTTATTTATAATGTATAATCTTATTTAAAAAGGAAAATGATTAATTATATAAAAATGATCAAAATCCAAAAAATAATATTTTATGTGGAATAGGATAAATAATACTCGTCCCGCTCTAAAGCTCTTATTTACTTTTTGGATGTTGATCTTTGGATATTAATTATTATATCAAAATGTAGTACAAATTAAAAAAAAAAATTGCAAAAATATTTTTATTCTATTAGTGTCTTACAATACTGATACAAGGATATTTGTATAAAAAATTATATAAACTATTTTTAATTTTAAGTATAACATTGAGGTAAAATTTACCATAAGATTAAAAAAATTGTTAGAATAGTTTCAACGTCCCCATTTTTTTCTAACATAGAAAGCATAGAAGATGAAAGTGGAATGGAAAGCATTGAACGGCTGAACTTGATCCTTGCCATGCATATACATGCGCGAATCTCCGCCGTCCAAACCCAAACTAAACAGAGCGATCCAAGGGCTGGGAATCAATGACCCTCATCCTCATGTTGAATCTACTTTACATCCATAAACTCCCATTCCCCATTACCCTCTAACATGCCAAGGCATTACTATTTCATTACCACCTGGTGGCTCCGGCAACGCCAGGGTCAGGCCGCCGCCGCCGCCGTCGACGGACCATGGACACCGCCGCCGCCGGAGAGCAGCGCAGGGTGATGCTGGTGGCGGACCCGACCCGGGAGTCCGCCGGCGCCCTTCAATACGCCCTCTCCCACGCGCTCCTCGAGAACGACACCTTGATCCTCTTCCACGTCGGCAACCCCAGCGCGTGGAAGAACCGCCTCGGCTCGTTCTTCAAGAAGCCCAACGGCAATGGCAGCGGCGGCGCGGCCGCCGGATTGGCGGAGATCGGCAGCGGCGGAATCGGCGCCGACGTGGATTTTCTGGACGCGATGAAGCAAGCGTGCGGCGCGGTGATGCCGAAGCTGAATGTGGTAGCGGAGAAGATGGAGATGGCGGAGGGACAGGACAAGGCTTCGATCATTCTGGCTCAGAGTTGGGTGCTTAATATTGACATGATAATTATTGGGCAGAGAAGAAAACTCTCCAATGCAATATTATTGGGGTGAGTGATTTAATTCAACGGTGAATGTCATTTTTATTTTATGCTTTGGAAAAATTGTTTGTAAAAATATGGAATTGCCGAAATATTGCATATATCGTATCGAAAATATTGAAATTTCGGCACGGTAACGATATACAGTATGATATTTTCGATATATATTGAAAATACTGAAATTTCGGCACGATAGCAATATATGATATTTTCAATATTTTGATATATATCGAAAATATTGTATATCATTTTGAAATTATATATCAGCATATACTGTCAATTCAGTATATTGATACTAAAACTACTATTATTTTGAATTTTAGTATTTTTGTATAAATATATATATATAAATTGTTTCGGTACAAACAATTCATTATACCAAATGGTATATATATATATATATATATGTACAGTATTAGCAAAGTAAAATACCAAATCGAAATATTCTAATACAGTATACGATATGTAATATAAAATTTAATATTTCATACCGAACTATTTTTAAATTCATGTATAATTTGAAAATCATGTACTATACTTATTCATTATTTAAAAACTACAAGCTTCCTTGTATTTTAAAAAATATTTCACAGGATTCTCTAAAATTATATAAAATCATGTTTTCGAAAATATTCCACAAAATCTCTATGGTATTTCGTGCACTATTTTTTAAAATAAATAAAATTTCATATAGTTTTTAAATATAAAGGAGAATAATGCATGGTACAAGTAGGTTATAAGTAAATTTGTCTTATTTTTGTTTCAATCGTGCAAGATTGATACAAGAAAATAACTTGAAAATGGTGGAATTCAGGGAAAATTGTAAAAAATATCCTACTTATACTTTAATACTCTCTCCGTCCACATACAAAGTAAACATTTATTTTTGATACGGTGTTTAAGAAATAATAGTATTTTAATTATAGTGGGTAGTTAGAAGTAGTAAAATGATATTTTTATCCTTCATTTTTTTTATGTAAAAGTAATTATGTGATGTAAAGTAAGGGTATTTGCGAAAAAAAATGAGATATTTAATGAAATATTTACTTTGTAAGTTAACGTCCCAAAATAGAAATATGTATACTTTCTGGCTGGACGAAGGGAGTATCACTTTTATCTTGTATTTATCTCTCTGGCAAAATATATCTCACATGTTTACAAACTTCGTTATTTCTATCATTTGGCCGCGCATGATTGCATGTAAGGGCGCGTGGTGTGAGGCGCGGCAAAGGATATAAATAGCGAATTTTGTAAACATATGACATATATTTTGCCAGAAAAATAAATAAAAAAAAAAGGTAATAATAAAGTATAAATGTGGGATATTTTTTACAATTTTATTGTGAAATTCATATTTATGTGCAGGTCAAAAAAGGGATTCGACACAGCAGAATATCTGATATTAAACAGCAAATGTGGGTGCGTAGCGGTGCAGAAAAAGGGTCAAAATGCAGGCTACATTCTCAGCAGCAAAACACAAAAGAACTTCTGGCTTTTGGCATAATCAATTAATCAATATTAGAATCAATATTTGTAAATTTTTTCTTCATTTCTGATTCAATAATCATCAACCCCATCATGCAATTTTTCCATTCTCAATAAAGATCCAAATATCATTTGGCATCTTCTGTACAAACTTTATTGAATAATAATAATAGCTTCTATCATTTTTTCTTTTTCTTCTCTCATTTTAGTTATAGCTGCTGAAATGAGTTAACCATATTTGTTATAATGCCTTAAGTCAAGTAGTCCAAATTGATTTTAGCTCAGCGTAAATCCCTCGTTTATTTGGCAAAATTGTCCATAATTCTCTTATAATTTCGAAATTCAGCGTAAATCCCTTATTTACTTTAAAAATTGTATGGCTCCTCTTTATATTTTAAAAAACGTTGCATAAAACTCCTTGATGATTTCGAAACTGAACATAAATTCCTACTTTACTTTAAAAAATTGCATGACGCCCCTTGTACTTTGAAAAATATTGCATGAAACCCCCGCTATGCAAAACATATAGATAGGAAATTATCTTCTCATCACATATGAAAGATTTTATGGTGTTGGGGTTTCGTGCAACGTTTTTTAAAATATAAAAAAGTATCATTCAATTTTTAAAGTACAGAGAGATTTTATACTAAATTTTGAAACCACACTGTAGTTATGAACAATTTTACCTTTAAAATATTTGGTCTAATGAATCCATCTAAATCAGACTATAAAACAATATCTTGATCCAGTTTGGATTGTGCACATTTATACTGCATTACTGTATTTATAATTAATGTTCAATTACTGTATTAATTTAATATATTTATTGTATATTTATTATTAATATATTTAAGGAAAAATAGCAAAAAAAAAAAAAAAAACTTATTGTGATTTTCTCAATTTGTTGAAAATTCTGATGGTGCTAAAATTCCATAAAATTTATTTATGATTTAAAAAATATAATAAAAAGCTCTCTTTTCGTTAGGACTACGATTGTTTTGTACAAAAATGAATATATTACTACAAAAAATTACAAAAATACTCTTCTTGAGGCATCTCAAGATATATTAATAGAAAAAAAAATTAATAAAATCAGAACTGGTTATAAGCCATGTGTGATTTTGAAAAATATTGCATAAAATTATATACTCCCTCTATCCCAATACAATATCATGTTTCTCATTTTTGTCCGTCCCAAAACAATAGTCTCATTTCCATGAATAATCATATCACTATAAAACTATCCTTACTTTTTCATTATTATTACACAATTATCGTTACTTTTTACACTAATACATTCGTAAGGACAAAAAATTCTTTTACTCGTACTTTTTACTCACTACCAATCTCGTGTCAAATACAACCCAAACTATAGTTTTGGAACGAAATGAGTAAAAGAAAATAAAAATAAAGAGATTGGACAATGCTTTCTAAAAACACGAGGTAGCTCATCTAGTTTTTAATCATGTGCAAACTTTTCAAATCTAAGGTTGATTATAAACAATTTTGCTACGAAAATAAATGGTATTGTGAGAAAGTTATGCTTAAATTAAATTTTGTTCCTTGTGGAGATGCTCTTGTGAATTAGTTATTGTGTTAGTCTTTTTGCACTATTCAATCTAAGGTAAAAAAGTATCATTTCAATGCCTAAACTCTATAACAAATTTTACGTCCCATCACTATTTTTCGCGGGAAAAAGTTCGAAAAAAGATAACCAAAAACATCCTAAAAGATACTAATATTTTGCTTATGTTAAAGACCGAGCCGCGTATCGTCTTTTAAATTTGTCATTCTTATTTTTGTCATTGTTAAAGTTCTGCAAATATTTGTTTGGGTCATATTCGTAACAGAATATAATATTTTACATGAAATTTTGTTTTTTAAAATTGAACTAATCCCGAATTATCATAGAAAAACTAGAGATCTAGGAGCAGCCAGCACAACACAAAATTGCTGCAATCTAAGGTTCTACACAAAACATAACACTGTCTCGGCAATGAAAGGACCTCATCGGACCAATATTCGTGCCTCCTCCAAAGTACCGAAATTCCGATGCTTCCCATCAGCTACGTTAGCCAGCCGGAAGCCGCGGCTCGCCAGCTGGTTGATCAGCAATGTCTCAATCCGGCAAGCCACGCTCTTTCCGCTCACCAAAAAATACAAAAACACCGCGCTTTCCATTCCTTCGCCTCCCCGATGGGCACGCACGCGCCCCTCAAGATCGTCCGTCTTTACAAAAAAACAAAAAAAAAAACATTACATTTCAAAAAAACGACGACAAAAAGGAAGCTACCGGAAAATTGATACCTCTCCGACGTAGAGTTTCCCGTCTGGTCGGAGAATTACGTAGACAGTCGAGCAACCGATGGTCGACGGCGGCGGTTGCTCCTTTGCGCCGATCACAACACATTTAACATCGCCGGCTCGACTATTCTGGCTGCAGATGCTAACGACCGCGCTTTCCACTTCCCTACACAAGTTTTCGACTGAATCGCGCAGCTTGGGTTTGGTCGAAACATTCGATTTCGACTTCTCCGGCGACGATGACGTTCGATCTTTTGCGTAGACGGCGTCGTACAATTCCGCCGCTCGTCGAATTAGCTCTTCAGGAACGCCTTCTCGACGAGCTGTTTCGAACGCGAGGCTCTCTTTGCAGATCCCGTCGATCAGTTTCCACGTCGGGACTGTTTGGCCGTTAATACACTCGGTCCCCATAGCTTTGAAGACGGTGTTCTTCAATTTCGTCGGCAAATCGAAGATTCCATGCAGATGCGTCGAGACGACGCCGACGCAACCAACGGCGTCGAGCAATTCGACGACGCTTCCCGCAATGCACGTGCCTTTTGCCGTTTCGGTCCCTCGGCATATCTCGTCAATCAGCACGAGGCTCCTCGAAGTAGCCCGAGTAATAATAGATTGAATCTCAGACATTTCGACCTGAGAAAAAATCGAATTTATAAACTCTAAACCCGAAATACGTCCAGGGTTAAGGCAAGCGACGGAATTCTTACTTGGAACGAGCTCTTTCCATCTGCGGGACTATCGTAGGATTTCATGTGCAGCATAATCGAGTCAAAATGAGGGATAACAGCCGATTCCGCGGGCACCATGAATCCGCATATTGCCAGTAGCACCGCGGCACAAATGGATCTCAACAAGCTCGATTTCCCGCCACCGTTTGGCCCCGTCAGTAGAAACAACGCCTTCATATTCACATCGTTTTGTACGGCACCACCTTGAGCTGAATCGAACCAATACGGCGATAGCCCCGTGATCTCCATGCCCTCAGCTCGACGCAATAGCCGTGTATTCTGCACAAAAATACCACAATTAAACGTCAACCAACTGACCCTCGACAACCTTTTAATAGAAATTAATCGAACCCTTTTAATTAATCGGCCGATGCTTACATGACCGGCCTCAGATCTGTCGAATTCAGTAAGAGTAGGGAAAACCCATTTTCTTCGTCGTCCTTCACTAGATAAAATTGGGAACAGACTTTATTACCGACGCCTCGAATCGACCTCGTATTCAAAAAAAGTCGAGATGGATCACTAACCTTACATGGCTAAACAAAGCCTTCGCAATAACAAGCAACATCGATGCAAATACAAGAATATTGATCTTTGTTTGTAGCTCAGCTGATAATCCTCTCAACAGTTCTATAACTTTTGCCCTCGCCTTGTCGCCGGCATCGTGGTATCTGTAAGAAAATCGGAAGATCCTTGGAGAAACAGGCAACAAAAAACACAAAAGTACTACAAAGCGATCGTTCATTGTAATAACAAGCAATCGGGTACCTGAGTAAAGCATTCTCCACTTTTACCGTGGTGAACCATTCATCTCCGACTTTTTTGCCTTTGGAATCGAAGGCCGGTCTGAGATTTTTTATTTGTTCCTCCCCAGGGGTCCCGGCCCATACAGACGGCACAAAACGTTTTCCCTTGAACCACACGGCTTCGTGTTCACGGGCGTAAAGTATCTCTCCCTTTGGCCCTCCGAGTGGCGACGTTGTAGCTCTAATTCTATATATTATGGGGAGGAAATCTTCTTCGATCTAAAAAATAATATCCCGTCAAATTCACATATATATATACATATAGGGTCATAAACTAGACGAGCTTAGAAGACGTACAGCTTTTGATAAGGCTATTGCTGCCTCGTCTACTTCGGCAAATTCTTGTTCCAAATGAAACCTCTTGACGCGGCCTTTCCAACAGGATTCCATGTCTTCAAAAAACTCGTTCGGAATAACACTATATGAGGTTATCATTTGGTCACTTTCTCCTTCTAGTGAGATAATTTCGCCGATTCTACAAGAAGCTGCCTTGCACTCATCCACCTGGAATGACATTAAGCACGGCGCAACGTCCACAAAAAAACAATAATGATTAAACCGGTAAAACCAAAGGATATCAAAACAGCACACAATGAAACATGAGGAATGAGCCAATTCCGACATTGATTCTTTCAATCCGAAAATTCACTTACTAATGTCTTCAGTTCGACTTTCAATCCGCTAGCCACCCAAGTCGGGTCCATCAATAGCTCAAGAATTTGGTTGAGTTCTGAATTTGTGTATAGTTGTAATATATCATTGAGAACACTTTTTATCTTGCAAAATTCAACGTGATTAGTCTCTTTTGACTCGAGCAACTTCACGAGCTGCAGGTAGCCAAAGTATATATATAGTACACAAGCAACCGAAGAAAGATTTCGTAACAGCATCAAATATCGTACGAATAGAAGTTGAATCCAAATTATGTAATAGAAGCAACATTAAAAGTTAGATATATTTTGATTGTCGGATAATGAATTGAAGAGTTTAGTACTGAATAAGGACAAAGAACGAACCTTGGCTGAAGGAAAACATGTGAAATCAGGAATCGAGCATGTTACATTGCTCATTAGTTTGCAGGCTTCTGCAAAGAAAGGAAAGAAAAAACATAACTAGAAGAAAATTGTAAGGATGCAACAAAACTACTAACAAATTTCGGTATGAAAGTTAACCAGGCGACATGTGGATACAAAAGCGTGATTCTTTGTAATAATAACAACATACCTTGTATTTTCGATGCAATCCCATAGGGAGGAGGGTTTAAAAGCAGATCCCGGATATACCTACAAGAGAAGAACAGCTGTCTCTAAAATCTTTAAAATCTTTAAAATGTGTGCTTCACCAAGTATGAAGCAATAGATCCACGTCAGTTCTTAATCTTACATTACAGGAAGGCCCGTACAGTTTGATGGAAGCAGCACTTTGAGTAAGCACGGAATTCCCTCGGTTGGGATTGCACCTGAGAAGATAGAATCGAATGTAATGAAACAAGGACTTATTACATAAACAAGAAATTATGAAAATAAATATACGGTGTATTTATTTAGGATTACCTATTTGCGTAGCCGTTCCAAGGTGCAAAGGACTTGGCCTATTTTCGGAAGCAATTGTAACATTTCTGAATGTTATATCATCTCCATGTCCGTAAAGCTCTTTCACCTGAATTATCACAAATTAATGAATCATTCGGAAGAAAGTACCTAAGAGGCCCAAGCAAATATTTTATCACAACCTTGTACAAAAGCTCGTCCACCGGATCGCCATCAAACCATTCGAATTGTTTGCCATTGCATTCTCCCCATAACAGCCCACCTTCGCCAAATTCTCCCCACCGACAAGTTCCTGTAAGAATATATCTAAACAGATATCAAAGAATATAAACAGCCTCGTATCTCAGTTCACAACTTCGAGTTACAATTTTACTTTGAGTAAATCGATGTGGAATGTATTGTATACCTGAGGAATTGTGTCTCAACGATGTGTGCAAGAACAAATGGTGGCACCGACAGGTACAGAGCTTCGTAACCAGAGCTTCTTCAGTCAGGCCATCCTCAGCTGAATATGTCTTCATCGTTTCCAGCACCGAAACCATGCAGTACCCCTTAGCCGAACGGGATATTCCTTGAGCAAAAAAATCAAGTTCAGCGAATATAATATCATTTCTATTTCTGTATATATTTCACATTAAAATTTTTACAATCATTGCATCAGCAACTATTTTACACTCTCCCCATCAGACAAACTTATACTTATACCATATTAGCTACTAATTTTCTCGTCTACTTAAAAATTACCGTTAATTTAACACATAATAATAGCTTTTCCATTGTCATTAGATCATACATACACTATGGAATAAACTCATTCCTTAAAGAATTTTCCAAAATATCTGCACATAATTTTTATTTTTACACTAAAATACTCCCTCGGTCCAAGCAAAAAGTTAACATTTACTTTTTTTGTAAGAAATAAGAAATAATAGTATTTAAATAGTAACCGATGGTACTTGTGTGTAAAAGACTTTTATTGCTCTTAGAGTTTTAATTTGATGTAATAGTATTGATGTAAATGTTCTTAGAGTTTTTATTTGATGTAATAGTATCGATGTAAGTAAGTATAAGTTTGAGGGTATTTAGAATATATAATGTGGTCAGACTTATATAAAAGAGCTATGTAGTATTTGTAAAGATGAAAATGGTAAAATGTAAACATTTCGAATGGACTGAGAGAATAATCTCTGTGCCTAGTCATACAAGCATAATTTTCATCGACGGAGGAAGTATTAGAACCTATCAACGCTAAAATATAGCAACTCGAAATTGAATTTGTTGACAGGCCTTGATAGACAAAATTCTTATTCATAGAGAATCTGTTAATGCATACCTATCACGGGCATCGGGTCAGGGAAATCAAGATCATGATCATCTCCTACAAGCCCAAACACGTAAGGATTTCCCGGATGTGCATGGCTGAAATTCACTCAACATCAGAACATAGCTTGGAAATACGACGAGGATAGGACAATAATCATACACAGCACTAATAAGTATAATAAATAGAAATAAGCCATCGATGGAACAAAATTACCCAGATATAAACCGGCTTTTACGTGTGCGAGCTTGAGTTGGACCCTGAACTTCTTCAACTATGCACTACAAATTGGAAATCGAATACAAATCCACATTATCTTTTCCCAATTTGAATTGAACTTATAGAAAACTCATAGTTTTAGGCAAAAGCAGAAAATATAAAGGCATGTTACTTACAATTGAGAAGCCATGACGTGTCAGATCATCCAGTGTCTGTCGTAAATTCTGCAAGAACAATAAACATCAAAATTTAGAAGCTAATCGACCCTGTCATGGAAAGGAAACAGGAAAACATCCTAGGAGGTTGGCGTGCTTTGTAATCTTCACAAGAAGAAAACAAACCAAATTAAACATCAGAAGAATGTACTCCTTCTCCAATGAGCCGTAAAGTGCTATCCAAAACAAATTTGCTACCAGTAATACCAGAGCAGCTAGAATATAAGATAACTGCCATGTCGAAGATAGTTTCCGAATCTCCAAATTGTTCGCATGGCTGTGATGTCAGGTTTTGACATATAATTGAGTACCGACATCACTATTTTCAGTCTTCCTAATCCACCAAGGCGTACGTAAACTAGTGTCATAGTATTTCATAGAGATTTTTAGGACTTAGTACCATCACAGGGCAACCAGCCTTTGGGATGCTGTCTGAACGTAGACCACCGAATGGATTTAGTCCAGCATATTCCACAAGAATGCAGGCATCAAAACCAATCGCCTCATAAAAATCACCAACCTTAAAAGAAGTAGCAACTGGTAAGGGTGTAAAACAATGTAAGGCATCATATTAGTAAGATTCATATGCAAGTATTTATACAAAGATAGCTTAAAAGCTCACTTTTATATTCAAACTAAATGTCGTTGGAAAGGAATACATAAAACAAACAATATCCAGGAAAGGAAAAAAGCATGTAAACATACTCTGCATAGCAAAACTTCACGCGGAAATTTTGACTTGAATTGCAGCATCTCCCAATTAAGATTTCCTTCTTTGAGGCTACAATACAGTCAACAAAGAAGCTTTAAAAACATGAGACATCTGGTTAATTTTAAGATAATATAGCAGGCGTGAATAAAAATACACGAAAACAACAAATTAAAGTGTAGCATTGTTTCTGTGGACATGTGGCATAAGAAATTCCCATCGAAGATACGAGGGAATAAAAAATAACTAATGCTCAAACACAGAAATAGAAAAAATAACATTTAAGGCTGTGCAATGTGATTATAAGCCTTTTTTCACTTATCTTCGAGGTTAGAAAAAGAAAACAATTATTTACGCAAGTATTCAAGGAATGAATTTTTTCAGACCAAAACAAAACAAGAAAAGCACTCTCACAACACTAAATTATAAGAGTTTATAAAGCATCATAGCGGGCTTTATTAATCAGAGACACCTATGAAGCACAGAACGATTAAAACTAGAAACTGATAAAAACGAGTTTAAAAAGCACCTTCCATTCCTTAAGTTAGTATCAACACCAAGCAAATTGGTATACGAAAGCCTTTTAACCAGAACTGTAGAAGAAGGCTTTCTGCACATTTGCATTTTCTGAAACCATAAAACAGCCTGATTAAACTTATGGGGAAGATTGATTTATAGCTTAAGTTTATTTAGTAAATCAGGCAAAACAGATATACATTTATATATATATATATGTATATATTATCCAACCTCCTTCCACCAGTCGACATGATAATGGTCTTTCTCTTGCAGGACAACTTTCAATTGTTTGTTTTTCTTGACAGACTTTGTATACAGCTTTCGGTCTTTGAAGCAAAAAATGAGCTCAGACCGCCTGATACTGTTGAAGGCGAATGAGCTGTAATTATTGAATATAGCTTTCAAGATAAAAGTATGCATGCATATAGCTACAAGTTTACTGATAAAAATAAATAACTATATAAATAGAAGTCGTAATCAAATTCTCCTAATCATTCACCAAATGCTTGTGCTTTCCAAACTGGTAAAAGTGAAAATTGTAAGCATAACCTACACAAAGGCAGCGGTTTACGAACATAGAAATAAAATCTGCCGTTTGCAACTTAATTCTGTCTCCTTGCAAGAAATTCGAGAAGGGTACAATAATACACAAACAGAAATCAAAGAATCATCATTCATAATTACAAAGAAAGAAACAAAAAAGAGTGGATGCCATTGTTTCTATGGCTAATCCTTGAACAGCTTCAATTAGCTCCTTCCAAGCTTATTTATCCTAAGATTAAAGAAAAGATAGGCGATTTGTCTTTTAAGAGCTATCCCTCTAGTAAAAAAGATATTAAATTTCCGACGACATGCAAAAAATGATAATAGATCTGCCGAAAACATAATATATTAAACCCTTGAGAATGTATAGAACCCTATTCCGGCCTCGTCCGGCATAGAAATCAGCCGAATCACTCGTGGTATGATACTCTACATCCCTTAAGCATCAGCTTTCTTTTCTACAGCTGATAAAAATCATTATTGTTTGACTTAAGGTTGTGTTTGTTTGGAGGATTGGATTTTAAATTCACTATTCATCCCATTTTTTCGCCTTCTCAAAACATCAAATCAAACACCTATTTTTCATTTTTTATATTATACTAAAAAATCAATTTTACATTCAAAACATCACATCAACATCACATCATTCGAACTATTCAAATTCAAAATTTTTACTATTCAAATACCAACTCAAAATCCAAACCCCCAAACAAACACACCCTATTGATTTGGTGTTCTTCTCAACAAGCAACAGATAGATATCAGCAATGAAAGCCCAGAATTACAGAATCTCAATCCAATCTTTTCTAATGTCCACAAAGTTTTCAGCCATTATTTATATATCAAAAAAAACAAAAACAAAACAAAATTCTAAGCAAACCCCACAATCAAACGCCGAACTCTGTCAGTTGATTCATTTCACAGTCGAATTTTTCAATGGTTTCGCAACAGGCACAAGAGAAATCCCAACCACACATTTCCCAAACTAAATACACGAAGTGTACAAAGAAACCAGAGCCCAAATTCCAAAAGAACAAAACATTCGACGGTGAAAAACAAAAAAAGCACATCATTCTATAAAGGCAAGAGAGCAATGGAGATAGAGAAGTGATGTATTTAGTACAGTGGCGTGGGGGCCGACGGGAAGAAACTCCGGCGGAGGGGCGGGCCGAGCAAGAAGGAGAGAGACCGCCATCGCGGGGCCAGAACGACGACGTTTCGGACCGTGACCCAGTGCATAGCTGCCTTGGGCAGTGTGCGCCAAGGAAAGAGAATATAAAAAACAGAGAAGTTGAGCGTAGGGTAGGGTAGTAGAGTAGAGGCAGCAGTTCCTCTTCCCGCCAGAGCTAATAAGTTGAAGAAGAGGTCTGTATTCTGTAATGGTAATGGAGAACTGAAAATTCGCTTTTTGGTTTTCTATACAGGGACAGTTGGTACGGCATCGATTCGAATCCCCCGTTATCTGGTTCGGACATACTGAATCTTATTTACAAAATAACCTTAAATAGGGTCCGTAACGGCATCAAGAAATGCTCGTCGATCGAGTTTATGGTGATTAATGAAATCCAGGAAATACAAATTGGGTCTGCTGGGACACCAAAATATCTGTTTCTTTATGGTCAAGAAACAATGAACATATGCATTTCTCAGAATAGGACATGGTACGAGGTCGAAATTTCTTGATGATGAACAATAAACATATGCATTTCTTCCTAGTACATTCCTGTGAGTTTAAAGCAGTCTTGATCATGGATTTTAAACTTAAATATATATATATTCTTTTAAATTTAAACTTTTAGATGAGATTGCAGCAACAAATACATCAACAAGGCATCAAATAGGCCATTAAATCATTCTCTAAACAATGCAGGATTGGTTACAACATCAAAAAAAAAAATAAAAAATTCGAAGACTTTCTCTTCTTCCCGCTACTTCTTCCCGCTACTTCTTCCCTTGCGCGAGGCTTACACGCACCGCCCGCCCTTCCAATTCCTACAAAATTGACAAAAACAAACATAGAGATGTAATAAAAGAATTGGCCTCAAAAAGACGGCTCGAGACAAAAACATTTGGTACCACTCCATTTAACGCTTCGAGCGCTGCTTCCATTTCAGCTCTGGTTTCATAGCTCACGAAACCATATCCGCGCGACCTCCCCGTCTCCCCATCATACAAAACCCGTGCTCCCACCACTTTCCCATACTCTTGAAAAGCTTGTGTTAAGCCTTCAGATGTGACAGACCAGGCCAAGTTCCCGACGAATAGTTTGTGCTCGGTCTCGGGATAGAGGGGCTCTTTCGGCTTAGGTTTGTCTGAGAAGTTCACTCTCAAGGTTCGACCGCCGTATTCCTGTGGCAAACATTGACTTGTAAGAACAAAAAAATAATACAATGGTATAGAGCCATTTATTTATCTACATTGCTGCTGCAGAGATGAGAGATTCTGATACTTACTCTTCCATCAAGATTCTCGATTACAACATCGCATTCTTCCACGCTGCTCATTGTCACGAAGGCGAAACCTCGGCTTCGGCCCGTCTCCCTGTCGTATAGAACCTACATTTTTGTAAAATCCCACAACTTAAACATGCCGCAAGGGCTTGTAGTATGTTAAGACCAATTTCGACTAGAGTTGTTAAACGAAACCAGTAGCCCGCAAGTCAAGTTTAACCTAACTCGACTCGTCTATAGAAATAAACTCGGCTCGAGGATGGCTCGGCTGAGCTCGTTAATGATGTTATATTTGTATTATTTTATATATTAATATAATATATAGAATTTTATATCAAAGTCTTTTTTGTTAATAAAATTTAAATATTTTATTGTACTACTTCCGTGCAGCTCGAATCACATTTACTGCTTGTTGATTTTTTAATATTAATTATCATATCAAATCGTAGTGACAAAAATACTAGTGTACAGAATATTATACAAATATAAGAATACTTTTATACAATGATGCAAAGTGTAAATAATCTCAATATATTTAATTTATATATTAGAAGTATATATAAGTCAAGTCGAACTCGAGCTTGATTAAAGTCTAACGAGTGGAGCTCGAACTACTATTTTAGCTTAAATTCTAAACAATCTGAGTCAAGTATGTGGCGATAACACGTTCGAGTTGAGCTCGAACAACGTATACTGGAGCTCGTTCTAATTTTTATCCTTGGTGAATTCGTTCACTACAAATGTTGATCAAGAATTCTACCACGATTAATTCTTGATCAAATTTTCTTGATCCTCTTACGATTCCAATTCCAATAAAAATTCTGATCAAGAAGTCATCAAAACTCTACTGATCCTCAAATGGCAGAAGCCCCAAATTCACAATGAAAGCAATTGAAACAAACACATTTTTAGACCACATTAAAATCATTACCTCAACCAACTCTGGACTAGCGTAGTCTTGAATAATACCAGCAAGCTGTGCACTATCACAGTTGTACGGCAGATTCCCAAAGTAAAGCTTAGTGTTGGGTCCAGTACCATTGTCCTCCGCCGCCTCGGCCTCCGCCGGAGCATCCAAATCCGCCGCCGCCGCCGCCGCCTCCTCCTGCGCGACGGCAGCAGCTATCCGGTAAGCCCTCCGGTTGGTGGTAACGGGGGTGGTGGGGGCGAACTCAAGGCTAAGATGAGAGGTGGAAAGTGATGCATGGTGCAGTGGTGGTAATGATGGTCGGGAACACGAAACCCTGAGGGGATACTGATCGTTGGGGTTGGGAGAGCAGCTCTTGGAGCTTATGCAACATTTCTTCAGTGTGGAAAAGGAAGAGGCGACTGCAGTTGCAGTGGCAGCCATTGTTGATATATCTTTGTTTCTGTTTTCGGTGGAATTGGATTTGGGAGTGGGAGTGGGGAGGGGAAGGGAGATTGTGGTGTGTCCAATGGAATGGGAAACTAGAGATATCTGCGGGATAAGGTTTTTATTATAACTGGCCTTTTCTGGTGGTGGAATTTTCTTGGCCACAAGTGCGTTTTATTTATTACTTGGAATTGGAGTTGAATTAAGGGTGCGGTGTTTTAAAAAAAAAAAAAACATAAACATGCATATTTTTTAAAAAATATTAATATATTATATATATTTATTATTTTTATATTTTTTATATAATTTTTTATACATGTTAAAAAATACTCATTAAAATTATTTTACAAAATAAATACATTTATGCTGCTTTCTTCACACACCAAAATTTGTAATATCGTTTCCAATATATATATATATATAGTAATAATCATTTGGTCTCATCTTAATTGATATGGAGAAGGATCATATGCTGAAATTTTTTAATTTCAGCATACGTACTGAATTGCTTAAAATCTAATTACTTTAATTTATATAATTAAATAATGTAATTAATATAATTATATATAACATATTATAAGGTTCACCATGGGTGCTGAATTAAAAAATTCAGCACCCAATCCATGCCGAATTGATATTTATTTTTCATTTTTGGTCTATTTAATAACAATTGATATTTTTCTATTTTAAATAAAATTTATTAAATCAAAGCATATTTAACAAATATAATTAATTTAATTCACCACATAACATATAAAATCATAAGTCATCGCCTACGACCTAATTAAAACTTCTTTATTTGTATCTTTCTTCTAAAAAACAAATATTTCTATATTTAAAACATCTTCTATTACAAAATGCAAGAAAAATAAATAATGCAGAAAATTAAAGTGATGATTCCCCAATAATTTCCAAAAAATTTATTTGTGAGACGAATGAGGTAACTTGAGCTCTTAGAATCAGTTGTGGATGGGAACGGTCCCGCACTCGTGCTGGTCGAGGGCGATTATGGTGGGAAAAATTGTTGTTTGATGAGAATGGTTACGATTGATTTAAAAAATTTAGCACGGCGCTAATTTTTTAAATCAGCACTCATAATATATATTGTATAAGAGTATATCATGTATTAAAATCAACAGTTGTATTTGTTAGTTTATGCATTATATTATTATATACAATGTGTTATTTGTAATAATATTACGTGTTGCTAGTCAATTCACAATGTGCTTTCCAGCAAAGCGCTGAGTTTAAAATTCAGCACGGTAACAACCGCTGATGTTTGATACACTGTTTTGAAAAAAAAAAAAAAAAAATCCTTCCATTCAATCGACCGAATTTGGGGTGTCGATTGCATTTGTCCAAATGGGGTGATTTTTGTCCGAAATTGGGGCTGAATTTTTGTGTTAACAATTATTTTTTCATCTCGAAAATATTATTTTTTATTATTTTGGTTTGTCTCGCTTAAAGTACATAAACTATAAATATATCATTATATATATAATGATATACATAACATACAAAAAAAAAAATATCAAAATGATTTTACATATATTCACTAATCAATAAAATACTAAATACTTATATATTTGCAAATAATCCAACTTAATCCACCCTTACAAGTAAGTAGGAAGTATCAAACTCCACCTTATCAAATCTCTTTAAAAAATTATGCCGAGAGAGAACCTTAGTGTCACGAGTTGACATTCCTGCCCTAAATTCTCGGTCATAATTCGTCTCATGTGTGCAAGTCCCTATCTTATACGGCTAATGAACGACATATGTCTTGATGCAGGTACGTGTTCCGCATTATTCTCTCATACTGTATGGTATATCCTGGGCGTGTTGTGCATAGGAGAACGGCTGGTTTAAACCTAAGTGCGGGCGTGGCCTAGGTGCCGGGCGTGTTAGCTTCCAGACACGTTATATATGGCATCAAAGCACCTTGACGCTGGTGGCAAACGAAGCGACAGAGCGGGGCATTACTCGGTGGAGGAGCATGTCTGTGGGTACGTCAAGGAAGAGCATCTCCCAAAGGAACTGGACATTCAGAGAGGGAGTACTCCTGAGGTGGGGGAGTATGCTCGATGTTGCTGGTGGGCCAATGTGGCCGAGCTTTGTTCGTAAGGGAAAAACCATGTTAAGAACGATATTCGGGTGAAAAATGCACAAGCTGCAACAAAGGATGTCCCGGATGGTGTGCGGAGACGAGCGGCGGAACGTGGGTCGCCTGTGGGTTGTCCATAGCAAAAGACCTCGTTGGCTTTTGGTGAGCACAAAGAATGAGGGTATGCAGAAGAGGGTCAACGGAGTGACGCTTGAGGCATACCGAGGGCGCAAGAAACAACCTCAGTGCACTTAGTAGTATCGCACAAGTGCTTTTGCGACTTGAAGTGGGGGAGTATTGTCACGTGTTGACATTCCTGCCCCAGGTTCTCGGTCATAGTCCGTCTCATGCGTGCAAGCCTCTGTCCTGTACGGCTAATGAACGGCATATATCTTGGTGCAAGTACGTGTTCCGCATTATTCTCTCATACTATATCGTATATCCCAGACATATTGCGCACAGGGGACGGCTGATCTGGGTCTCAACGCGGGCATGGCCTAGGCCCCGAGCATGTCAGCTTCCGTACACGTTACATTAGGCTTTATTTACACTATTTTTGGAAATTTTGCATTATTTAATTTTTTAAAAAATATGGGGAAAAATAATAATAGTCTTAATATAATTAAAATATATCAATTTTGGTTTCAATATAAAAAAGTTATCAATTGTAGTCCTATTATAAACAATTTTCATTAATTTTGGTCCCTCCATTCAAAAATTAATGAAAATTGTTGACATAGGCGTAACGGGGTTGACTTGGTTGTTGACCTTGAAATAATACGGCCGTATACAATTATATACGTCAATATTGTCACACGGCCGTGTAAAATTATATATCTCCAAGTTGTTACATGGTCATATACAATTATACACGTCCATGTTGTCTCACGGCCGTGTACAATTATACACACTCACGTTATTTTACGGTCATGTTTAATTGTATATGATCATATATATTTATGTTTTGATCTAAATTTTTGTTTTTTTGGTTATATTTTTTTATATATATAAAATATATATTAAATTTAAAATAATTAATATAATAAATTAAATTGTATCAATTTGAAAATTTTGAAGTCCAATTCGACTGTTTTATGTATAGCTCTCTTGCTAATCCCGTTACGTCTACATTAGTAATTTTTATTAATTTTTTAATTGTGAGACCAAAATCCTTCCACAAACATGAGTGTGTTTATATGATGTATTTTTGAATGGTGAGATCAAAATCCATCCACGTTATTTGTTTATAATATGACTAAAATTGACGAGTATGTTTGTTTGAAAGTTTGAAATTTGAATAATAATAAAAAATAAATAAAAAAATTAAATTGAAATAATTGTATAATGCAATATAAAGAGTGTTGATACGATGTTTAATTGGATTTTTGTGGAAAGATTTTGGTTAATAGTAAAATTATGGGCAAAATCTTCTAATATAATACACTTTATGAATTTTTTTATATTAGAATAAAAATTTTTACATTTTAATTATATTAGGATTACTATTATTTTTTTTTTTTTCATTTCAATTATATCATCTATTCTAAATTCTTTTTTTTTTCTAAAAAAATATAACAAAAATAAAATTTTAGACCGAAACAAATAAATACACGGTCGTGTACAATTAAACACGACCGTGTGACAACATGAGCGCGCATAATTATACAAAGCCATGTTATAACATAGGCATATATAATTTGTACACGAGCGTATTGTTTTCAGGCCGGCTACTATCACGTCAACCCCGTTATGTCTATATCATCATTTTTTGTAAATATTTTAATAATAAGACTAAAATTGATTGAAATTATTTATAATTAAGCTAAAATTGATGAGTTTTTTTTTTTGAATATATTGAGATCAACATTGATACATTTTAGTTATACTGTACTATATTTATTTTTTTACAAAATAGTATAGTATAAAATTTGCTATTATTCTTTTGATAAGTTTTAATAAAAAATTGATTTGAATTTGATATTACAATGATATATGATTAGATATTTGTGAGATTTTCTTATTTTTCAATTCAAATAGAAACCCAAGTATGGATGTAAAAGAAACAAATACTATTTTTGATTTTTGATTTTTTTTGTTTAAAATGATTTTATAAATTGTATAATAGTAAAAGGAAAAAAATTACTAGTAATTACCTTACAAATGGAGGGCAAAATAGACAAAAGCTTCTGTGTCCGCTCTGGCATTAGCAATCCTGGCGTGGCAGTATTGTTGAGCAAATTAATTAGTGTGTTCGTTTGTAATATTTTACCAGAATATTACTATTCATCAAATAATTTTTTAAAAAAAATCAAAATTAAAAATAATTTTTTTTTATTACTTCAAAAATAATTTTATATTCAAAATATTAAATCCACATCTATTTATATAATATTATACTATTATTAAATTTCAAAATTTTTACATCTCAATTCCAAACACACGACGCACAATGAATTGCTCAAGTAAATCTGTGACTCACTTCCTCTCTTATTACATGTGCATATATATATGTCTTGGTTTGCTTTTAACTACGAACTGTGATTTTGTGCTTCATTCGACAATTAAGGAACCCACAGCAATCGCAATGGTGAGATCCAATTACAAGTGCAAATGAGTCTTTGGGTGTCTTCTTAATGGTTGCAAGGTAATGGAACATGTCGTTCGGGCGCTCAAACAATTCCTCAATTCGAGACGCAATTTCGAGTATCGTACTTTCGCGGCTATGGTGGACTTGAGGCCATTCAATTCAAGGATCTCAAGCTTCATGAGAAGTGGTCTTGTTGAAGAAGCACAAGACCTGTTCGACAAAATGCCTCAGAGAAGCACAGTCTCGTATAATGCTATGATCAGAGGATATTTTCAGAACAGACTTTATGAAAAGGCTGTGTTTATCTACAACCAAATGCCTGTCCGTGATACATTCTCGTACAACACGATGATCGCCGGATTAATGCAGTTCGGGAACGTTGAAGGAGCTGAAGCTGTTTTCAAAACCATGGCGTGTAGGGATGTTGTAACTTGGAATTCGATGATTTCAGGGTATGTTAATAATGATTGGGTCGATGATGCAGTCAGGATGTTTAATTCGATGCCGTCGAAAGATGTTGTTTCGTGGAATTTGATCATTGCAGGGTTAGTTAAAGTTGGGAAGCTGGATGAGGCTGTAAAGTTGTTTCGAGGAATGAGTAACCGCGACGTCGCGTCATGGACTATTATAGTGAAAGCATTTTTAGGCGCGGGCCGGATTGTCGAAGCAAGGCGAGTCTTTGATGCAATGCCGGTAAAGGATATTCAAGCCTGGAATACGATGATAGGTGGTTATGTAGAAAACAAAGCTGTCGAAAATGCAGAGGATTTGTTTCACAAGATGCCGGAAAAGGACTGGAATTCATGGAGTGTAATGATAGACGGGTTCGTGTGTAACGGGAGGAGTAACGATGCCTTGAGGCTATTCGAGGAGATGCCGGAGAAATGTGAAAAATCGTGGAATACGATCATTTTTGGATTCGTCAAGAACGGTTTGGCGAGAGAAGCTCACGCCATTGTCGAGAAAAGCCCATTTGGCCGTATCGTTTCTTGTACGAATATCATGGTTGGATACTTCGATATGGGAGAGGTCGAAAGCGCCGTCAAAGTTTTTGAATCGATGCCCTGTCGCGATACGACTGTATGGAATGCTGTTATATGTGGATTAGGCGAAAATGGTCGCGTCGAAGATGGAGTGAATTTGTTTATCGAAATGAAGGAGTACGGTTTCCATCTTGATGAATCGACGTTTACGAGCTCTCTAACTATATGTTCGAACTTGCCGTCCTTAAACCTCGGAAAACAAATTCACGCGGAAGCTGTCAAGCTAGGGATTGATTCTTTTGTTCCTGTCGGTAATGCATTTGTTACGATGTACTCTCGATGCGGCAACATGGACTACGCTCTACTTACGTTTAACGCCATGGCCAGCCACGACAAGATTACGTGGAACTCGATCATATGCGGATTGGCTCACCACGGCCATGGCGAGAAGGCGATAGAGATGTTTGAAAAGATGCGATCAACGGCGAATATGAAGCCCGATCAAATATCTTTTGTTGGTGTTCTTTCTGCGTGTAGCCACGCCGGGCTCGTCGACCATGGAAAACATTACTTCAATCTTATGCAAAACGAATATTCTCTGGAGTCGACGACTGAGCACTATACGTGTATGGTAGATCTGTTGGGAAGATCCGGCCTTATCGACGAAGCCGTTGATCTTTTGAATCAAATGACAGGAGGTGGGCTAGAGATTCGCGCAAGTCTTTGGGGAGCTTTACTCGGGGCATGTCGAATGCATAAGAATTTTTCAATCGCTGAGATCGCCGGAGAAAAGATTTTGGAGATGGAGCCGTCAAACTCAGGTATGTACATGATTCTTGCTGAAATGTATCTCGCCAGCGGGAAGAGGCGAGAAGCTTACGGTGTGTGGAATCGAATGAAAGAGAACGGCGTGAAGAAGCAACCGGGCTGTAGTTGGGTCGAATCGAGCGTTACGGGAAATGTATTTCTATCCGGCGACAGGACACATCCCAACTTCGATAGCATATCCGCCGTGCTGTCGCTGATTTACCGAGAGATAGATACGGAAAACATCCCAACAACTGATGAATAAAGCATTGGAGGGGTATTTTTTAAACTCTGTCGACATTCGCCGTAGAATAGATTCGACGTTTCATTTCTGCCTTTCGATTGCGACAAAATGGCTCGTTCAAACCGTCTTACCTTACATTCGACGCTAAAAAAAAAAGGGCAATCAACAAACCACGCAAACGTTGTATGTTCCAAAATTTTCGACAAATGTTGTCGACATTTTTGTCCAAACTCAAGTCGGGGCAGGTCTTGGGGCGGTCTTTTTCTCATCTTTTTTTTTGGTCGAACTATCCGATGAAGCTCTGTTTTTTGCTCGAATACTGCTTCTTGGCTCTACTAATTCCTTGTTATATCCGCGTGCAGGTGAAGAGCAATCGAAAGCAACGGATTTAGGGAGAATCTTGCATTGTGCGTGCCTGTTGCGATTTTCCAGACCCGGAAGCTGCTCTTTTCTGGCGTGCGATTTCTTCCTCCCGATGATCAAATCGTTCTCTGAATCGAATGAACAAGACACATCAAATTCTACTCTACGTACGTGCGCGCATATATAGAGGTGGAACACAAGCTACATATATACCTGGACTCGACAAAACTGCGCGTGGGCGCGGGGCAGAAGTTGCTCTGGCACTCTTACGGTCCTCGACTGCAGCAGCAGTGTTCTTCCTCTGAGTTTGTTCTGTGGATTCAACAAGCGGTGTTAGCTATTATATTTCATATAAGGCGCAATCGAATAGTATGGCCGGGTAGCAAACCTTTGGACGTGTGAAAGGATGGTGGCGGAGACATTGGGACGTAAGAGCGAGGGATGCGTGCAACGGACACAGGCGACTCATCTGTTGCATCGAAACGATGAAAATGTGTTTTTAGGAACAAACTGCAAGTTGTAATGAAGTTTCTTAGCATTTGGATTATGTGAAGTTCAGCATATAATGTTCAATGGATTCAAATTTATCTTGTAATTCAACATACTTATACTATGGTTGAGCAGTATTGTTCGAAATTCCCAAGTTAAATGTTAGGTAAAGTTGCTCGTAATTTTTCAGTAATTTCGAAATTTTGCGTAAAATCTTATCAATATATTTTAAAAATTGCATAATACTATCTTGTACTTTAAAAAATGTTCTACCACATGAAACCTCTCTTGTGGGATATGACGAAAAGATAGTTTTTTATTTATATTCTTTTGCATGGCGGAGAGTTTCATGCAATATCTTTTAAAATGTAAGAGTATACAACTTTTAAAATAAATAATTTATGTTGTATTTTGAAATAACAAGAGGGGTTTTATGCAACATTTATCAAAGTATAAGGACGCCATGCAGTTTATAAAGTAAATGGAAAATTTATACTTGAGTCTTTAAAATCACATCGGAGAGTTATGAACAAGGTTGCCTAAAGGTTATGCAAATGGCTGTTCTTATTGAAGAACAATACAGAACATTCGAGAAGCAGAGGAAACAGTACTGAAAAGCATGATAGAACAACCAAAAGAATCTTTAATCGATAGATGAAAACGAAGAAGTGTATGATGTTGAGAGAGTGATTGATGACCTGAAGAAGAGGAATGATTGAGAGAAAGCCATTGGAAGGCTTTGAGGGACTCTAGAGAGGTTTTCTCATAGGAATAGCGTTCAGCCTCGTCTCTCTGCGACTGCACCCTAACCTTCACTTTCGGATACACTATTCATTCATTCATTCCAACAATTCGAACCAATCAATCAACCAATCAATCAATCAATTTCACAAACATAAGCAAAACCCAAGCCAGATCGACCAAACCATGAAAGAGCAAAAACAGAAACAACAATTAAAAACTTACTAGATCTTTGTTCCCTTCCTTTTGATGGATGATTTGGGGAGATGAATCGAAGAATCTTCGTCTTTCTTCTTCTTCTTCGAAGAAATTAAAATGAATGATTCTTGGATGGAACCAAAAGTTAAAGAGGAGGAAGGGGAGGGAGGAGGCGTAATGTGAAGAACAAGCAAAACAAAACAAAACAGAACAAAGCAAGGCAAGTCAAATATGAAAAAGAAGAGAATGCGGTGGGGCCCGACTCACACAAGGGAAAGGAAGGTTCATTCGATCGATGTGGTCGGCGGGTCAACTGCCGGATTTCATTTTGGCCTTTGGGTGGGGGTCACTCTCACTCACACACACGCTTTGTTTAAATAGCAACAAATTTGGAAAATTTTAAATTATTTTTTTATTTATTTTTTTATTCACTCACAAATTATATTTTTATTTTAAAAGATTTAATTACAAAATAATTATTTTAAAATATTTTTAGAACGTGTTTGTTTTGTGATTTGATTTTTTTTTTTTTTGTAAAGTATAAAAAATTTTATAGGTAATCTAAGGGTGTGTTTGTTTGGGATTTGAACTGTAAAAATTTTGAATTTGAATAATTGTATGATGTGATATAAATAGGTGTTGACGTGATATTTTGAATGTAAAATTGATTTTTGGTATAATATAAGAAATGAAAGTTAGTTGTTTGATTTGATATTTTTTTGAGAAAAAAATGGGATGAATAGTAAATTTAAAATCCAATCCCCAAACAAACACACCCTAAAAATAAAGAACATGTATAATTAATAACATTTTTGAAAAAATGTGTTAGAAATTTTGTTTATAAAAACAAAGCTTTATTTTACCATCTCATCATAATTTTTATATTATAAAATAATAAGAGTAAAATTATTTTGACACTATTTTTAGTTATCTACTGCAATCAAAATATTATTATTTCTTAAATTCTCTGTATAAGTAAATATTTACTTTCAAATTGGACATAGGTAATATTAAGTATTTTAATACTCTTTCCATCATCTTTCAATTAGGTTTTTTATTTTTTATTTTTTTATTTCAACTAACAAGTTTATATTGTTGGTAAAATATACCAATTTCTATATAATCAATTTAATTAACTTCATATTATATAACAACATATATCATATATGAATTATTCAAAACTCTTTTATTTCTAATTTTTTTCAATAAATACATATTTAAAACTTTTATTTTTTATAAAATTAATTTATTTTAATTATAAATAAATAAATATTTTATTTTTATTATTTAGTTTTTTATTCAAACTTTTTTAGATAACTGCTTTTTTCAATTATGACAGTTTTACCCTTTTATAAATGAATAAAGGATAAAAAAAAGTAAAAATTTATGTTTAAAAATAAAATTAAGACAATTATTGTGAATTTTCCAAATAGAAAAATAGGATATTAGTTTGTGAACGGAGAGTATATTTTAGTAAGATATCATATTTCAAATATTTAAACTTATATTTTAAATTTATTTTAATTATATATTAATTCTTATTTTAAAACTATCAATAATGTTACTTATATAAAAATATAATCAAATAATATTATAACTCAAATTGAATTCTATTTCTTTAAATATCGAGTGTCAAATGAAATGAATAATTTTAAACGAGACAGAGAAATTTTGTGATATTTTATTTTTTTAAAAAAAATTATTTTAATAATTTTTTATTTTTTCTATTAATAAATAATATTCTCTTTGTCCACATAAAGTCTAATTTTATTTTTTTTATTCTCATATAATTTGTCTATTTTTCTAAAAAAAATGATATACATTTTAATTATATTTTAAATTTTATAATTTATAATTAAAATTTTAAGTAAACTATTTAATTATCTTAATGTAAATTTATAATTATTTGTATTATATAATAATTATTTTTTAATAAATTTTTTAATTATATATTTTTAAATCCTTCTCTCGATCAGACCGCTGATAGTCCGCGGCAACTATATTTGTGAGCAAATGGTGTGCTATTTATTATGAGTTGACGGTACTTTCATTTTCTCTCAAAGTAGACCTCACTTCCCTTCTACCCTCTAAACTCATTTCAAACGTGCTGTATATGAAGTAATATTCTCTTCGTGTAAGATATAATGTCATATATTTTTTCATTTTTATTTATCTATATTTTATGTTATTTTACTTTTTAAATTTTTTTTTATATATTTTAATCATATTTTAACTTTAAAATATTATATATTTTTTAATTTAAATTTTATATTATATATATAGGGTATGTTTCTTTAGAGGGGGTTTCGGGGAATTTGAGTTTGGGTTTGATTTTTATTTGAATTTTAGAATGGGTTTGAATTTTTTTTTTTTTTTTTTTTGTGTGTTTAGGTTTGGTTGGAGTTTTGAGAGTTTTGATGGGTATTGATTCAATGGATAATGAATAAAATAATATAAATGTGTATTAAATTTAATTGATAAAAATTATGTTGTATGATTTGATTATGAATTTATATTATACCCAACATATATATATATTTAAATTTTTATTTATTCGTATTATATAAAATTTTATTATCTACAAAATGACATATATATTGTATATATTTTTTTACCCTATAATTATTATAAATATTAAATAAATATAAAATTTTAAAAAAAAATTGAAAAAAAACCAATGTCGGTGATGGGGAGCTAGCCCGGTTTGGGAGAAAACACTGTGTCCATAATTTAATTAGATTAATTAGTTTAACCTATAATTATTTGTATTATATTGTAATTGATTTTGTTAATACATTTGTATCATTACAAGAATACACGACACCGATTCACTCAATAATCTAAATACTAGCAACAGATCAATTATAAAGAAATGGAATCATCCGAAAACATCATATCCTTTTAGCTAGAGCTGGAAAATTAATAAATAGTTAGCAAACAAAGCTCGATTAGACTCCGTTGTGTTTGTTACTAGCTCGTTTGTTAAGTTAAACGAGCCAAGCTCGAACAAAAACAATAGTTCGTTTTGTTAACGAACAAACACGAGTCATGTTCACAAATGTTTGACAGTGTTTGTATATGTTTGTTAAAGGGGATGATTTTGTCATTCATTTCATAAGATTTTATTTGAGAGTAATTTTGTCATTAACTTCCTAGCTTAGTAGGAGGGTACTTTTGTCATTTTATAGTTTGGGTTTTATAATAAAATTTGTAATTTCTAGTCTATTTTGGGCAAACGACTTAATAGTTCTCTAGTATTCTATATTTTCTTCTTTCTTTCTTTATTTCTAACATCATACTTTGTCCTTTTTTGAGATTTAACTCATTTTATTCTTCTTTGGTACGGTAAATATATGTTTTCTTATATAATTGTGGATTCTTAATATGTATATAATTATGATCTATTGAAGAGAGAAAAGTCAAAGAGGCCCCGAGTAAGACCCTATGGACCAACAATATGCAGTCTCGTGGCCTAGTAGTCCAACCGACCCACCAATTAGAGCGGTCCAATCCTATAGTAACTCATGAGAGTAAGTCGGCATATGGGCTTGGCTAGGAAGGTGGCATGAGAACTATTTTGGTAGGTAGAAGATGAGATTTTTATGGAGAGAACTTATAAAAGAGCAATATTCATCCAAATGAAGGTCATATCCAGATTCTTTAGCATTTCAAATTCGTCATTCCAGAAGCATTTCAGCAACATTCATCTCCTTTACACATTTTTTTTTTCAAAATTCTAGTATAATTTTCCTTTTATTTTCTTCAGTACTTTATATTATTTTCTACAACTTTGTTTTATTTCTATGCAACTTTTCAATAGAAATTCCGGTATTCTTTATTCAAAATTTCAGTATTATTGCACCTTATCAATCAAAACTACTGCCTTCTTGTTGTGTTAATCACAAGATCATCGCAAGATAGTCCAGATCCTTACTTAAGAACGTCGGGGAACCTTACAAGAAAATTGATTCCAACAGGCCCTTCCGATTAGGCCGTCGTAGTGATTTTTCACTACAACAGATTTGGCACGCCCAATGGGAATCCAACGTCTCGCGATTTTTTCTACAACTCTGGAAGAGAAAATTGATATTTCCGACGACTTTAGAGAAGTCTAAGAACAAGGAAACCGTCGACGATTCGTCAACTCACCCTATGCCCAAAGTCGTTCCACATGATAAGGCGTCCGCAGCTGTTGGAAGGTCGGATAAGATCATCAGTCTTCCTGCCAGTGTCTTTCAAGAGTAGATTTGTGGAGAGATTCATGCATCTCTTCATAAATCCGCCTTTGGACGCTCTCGGTGTATCATCAACATTATGAAACCGATAATGCGGAATGAATTTGCATTGCTTCGAAAAGAAGAAGCTTGGAAAGGCAAAACACTGATGGCCAATTCCAGCCAACCAGAAATTCAGCCTTCTATGAGTCTTATAACTAGCACTGCAATAAATTCGACGTCACATACGCTTAAGTACAGTTATGTTACCTTTTTGGGTACGGGCATCGGATCTAGAGGACCACCATCCGACATCCAGAAGGTATGGAATTCCCGAATGTCGTTAGAGAAGGCCTTTGTTAGGCCGCATCCAACTTATGAATTTGGAATGACCTTCGGAATGGTCCCCTCATCTCTACAACGGCACGTAAACCCTCTCTTTGCTAGAGCGATCTCCAATGCATCTGCTCCCACTCTGAGCCTTCAAGAGAATCCGAAGGTCGGACAAGAGACTTCCAGTGCTTGAAGGATATGAGCGATGATAGCTCTAAAATATTTGTTCATCCCAACACCTCCTGGAACAACATGGGAACCAGGAACATCAGTTCTGAAACCATCCTCGTACACTGGGGGCAAGGATATGCCGGGAAAGGCCAACTCCTTGTTGCTTCTTGGTTACAAGAAGGCTACGGATCTTACCCAAAGAGTGATGCTGAACTCCGGAAATATGCCACCGCAGTAGGCACCAGCCTTCAGAGAAGCCGTAGAAGGCATCAAACTCCGTTTTCCACATCGTAGGCATGCTCCTTAGGCCTTCCCGCAGCCGGTATTACGCAATCTACCGTCCGTTAAGGAAGCTCCCGAGTAGCCTGGAGGGCAAACAGAAGTAGCGCCACTACGACATCTTATCATAAATTCTCAAGCGATCAAAGATGCAATTCGTAGAATTTATGGCGATCCAATCCGACTACCAACAAGGCTTTACTATCAAAGGCCTTTTTT